CCTGCTGAAGAGCAGTGTAGTGAAGGCTATATAGGGTCAGATTAGAGGGGCTGAGGATTCAATGGAAGGTGTGAATTTCTTCAAAAAGTCCAATTTAAAAATGGAGAACAAAGGGTAGAAACTAGAATGCATTGCAGGATCAAGGACTTTTCTGTTTAATTGACTAAAAATACTCGAGCATGCTCAGTCTGTGAGAGAAAATACAATAAAAAATGAGAGGCTGAAGCCAGAGAACCTGGTGAAATTTTGGGATCGAGATCTCAGAAGAACAGGGAGAAGATGAAACAAGGCATAAAGATGAAGGAATTTTCCTTAAATAGGAGGAGAAATACGCTATCCTTCTGAGACCTGAGAAGTTAAACATGGATGAGAATGAAGCTTATGTTGTGTTTACAGAAGGGAAAGGAAGACTGTAACGCAGAAAGTTGGAAGAATTCATGGCTGGTGGCTTCAACTGTGGATATGAAACAGGAGGTAAGGGCCTTGGTCACCAGTAAGAGAATGGCAGATGGGTTAAGAGCTTGAGAAGCTAGAGAAAATGAGCTGATCTAGGACAAGCTTACCGATAGGAGGGTTCAAAGAGACCAGCTGGTTAAATTCTCTGTGGTTTTTAAGAACTAAGAGAGGTTCCCTGAACTGAATATAACTACCTAAATTCAAGTATCTTGACTATGCTTTATAAAAATGACTTGTACAGGGAAAGAATCAACATTATGTCCTTATTTCTGGCCTGATGTGTACTTACCCTTTTTCAAAGCTAAATATTTCTATGACATATCCAGCTGACAGGGCCACTGTTATTTTCTTAAAGGTGGCTTTGGAACTTCAAACTGAGATGGCATTAGAAGGAATCTGTACGTCTTCAGAGAACTCATCTCTGAATAGTTGGATATTGTTGATGAAGCTTGGCCTCTTTTGGCAAGGTTTGTCAAAACTGATTCTAATATGTACTGGAAAATCAAATGTCCTTGTGTTTACAAAGAACAAAGTCAGGCTAGCTGTTTTTGCATATGTTGAGTTTGTTGGTACTCATAAGATAAAACCTCTGATGACCAAAATCCAATCATTTTGGAGCTTGCAAAATGTCATGCATTTACCCATAACTTAGAGTAAGACATTTGTTTGCTTTCATACATGTGTGGGAAACACATCTGAAATATACAGACTTACCAAAGCCTAGCAAAGCTATCCTATTATTAGACAAAAGTAGAATTCACCTTCAGATTTTCACCTTGAGAATGTGTCCCACTAACTCAACCTATGAAATTATTCTGAATATGAAATATTACAGAAGTGATTTGTTTTTTTAAAAAAAAAACATTTTGGTGGTCCTGTTAAGTACTAAAAATTTCACTGTGATTTTAAAGTTACCATTAAAAATGAATTTCTAAAAACAGACAAAGAAGGCTTTGATAAAACTGAGTCATCATACGTATGATTTCTGCATAAGTGCCTTTTTCTAATGCTGTAATGAAGAACTAAAGCTTCAGAATAAGGCCTCTCCAAAATAGAAGAGCATAATTTCTGGAGATTAAGGCCACCTCTAATAATAACTACCATTTGCATAGCATTTTGCAATTTCCTTAGCATTTCTATGTACTTTTCAATTTCCTTAGCATTTCTACGTACTTTAATTTCATTTGATTCTTACCTTTTCCAGATAAAGCAAGGAAAGCTCTGAGATGATACGTGATTTGCCCAGTCAGTAAATCAGTGAGGGGTGGGAGAGAGAGTGAAGAGGTACCTGTCTTTAGAACTCAGACCTCTATTTTCATCTTTTGATTTCTGAAGAAATATATGTTCACTGTATAAAATTTAGCATTAAAAAAAATCACCAATAGTCTCACTAACCAGATATTGCATCATTAGTTAGTAAATTTTCTCCCCAGTTTTTTCTATTTAAAAAAAAAAATTGGCATCACAGTTTCCTCAAGCCTTATGTAATAATCATCTTTACATCTCATCTGGTATTTTAAACCTGAAAGCTGAAGAAAATTTGGCTTATCAATGATCTCATTAGCAATAGCAAAACTATAGCAAAATACAGGCGTACCGTATTCTTAAGTTACATTTTCTCAGAACTTTGTAGAGATTGTTCCACTGTCTTCTAGCACTGAGTATTTCTGTGTGGATGTCCCTATAATACTTTATCCCCAAAGTTCACTAAACATCACTGTGATTATGACTTAGTGTTTTTATCATTCTGTCAACTTCTTGAAAGAAATATTCAATCTTTTTTTTTTTTTTTTTTTCCCCCTTGCGTTATGCGGGCCTCTCACTGTTGTGGCCTCTCCCATTTGCGGAGCACAGGCTCCGGACGCGCAGGCTCAGTGGCCATGGCTCACGGGCCCAGCCGCTCCGCGGCATGTGGGATCTTCCCGAAACGGGGCACGAACCCGCGTCTCCTGCATCGGCAGGCGGACTCTCAAGCACTGCACCACCAGGGAAGCCCAATATTCAATCTTTATTTCAGGAAAGTTCCTTGAAGAGTCCAATCTTTATTTCAGAAAAATTTCTTCCATTATAAATATTTTTCTAATTCATCAGTTATTCCCTTCTGGAATTTCACTTATGTGCATTTGTCTCCTTTATCTGTCTCCCATATCTATCCATCTTCTCCATAATCATTTATACCTTTTTTTAACCATTTCATTTTTGTGATTTTCTAAAGCCAGGTGTCCCTCTGCCCCCGGTTATATACTGAGACATATTTATACTTATAGTTGTTTCTGTGGTAGCTTTTATCTTGATCATATTTTTACTTTTCAATTCTTTCTGAATTCTGTCAATTTGTATTCTGCCTCTATTGTCTTGTAATACATTTTTTGAACCTTTGTATCTCTTCTCTGAGCTGTTTTTTTTTTTTTTTTTTTTTTGCGGCACACGGGCCTCTCACTGTTGTGGCCTCTCCCGTTGCAGAGCACAGGCTCCAGACGCGCAGGCTCAGCGGCCATGGCTCACGGGCCCAGCCGCTCCGCGGCATGTGGGATCTTCCCGGACCAGGGCATGAACCCGCATTCCCTGCATCGGCAGGCAGACTCTCAACCACTGCACCACCAGGGAAGCCCTCTTCTCTGAGTTTTAAGAGATCATCTTTGCAATTTCACTGAGCCTTCAGGTCAGTGCTAACCAAGAGAACTTTCTGCAATGACGGAAATGTTCCATATAACTGCACTAGCCACATGCGACTACTGAGCACTTGAAATGTGGTTGGCGCAATTTAGAAACTACATATTTAATTCATCTTGCAATATATTGATATTAAATAAAATAATATTTCAGAGAGCTGAAGAACATGAATCTTCAAAGGGCTCACTATGCATGATAACACAACACATGAAAAAAGACCCACAGGACTTCCCTGGTGGTCCAGTGAGTAAGACTCCGTGCTCCCAGTGCAGCGGGCCTGGGTTCGATCCCTGGTCTGGGAACTAGATCCCACATGCCGCAACGAAGATCCCATGTGCTGCAACTAAGACCCGGCGCAGCCAAGTAAATAAATATTAAAAAAAGAAAAGAAAAGAAAAAAGACCCACACCTAACTAAACAAAACCCTATGATATTTCAGACCAACAGGGA